CAGACTGAGAATGACATAGCAAGTTATGCTTCTTCCAAAATAAGGACATTGACCAAAAAACAATTTTTTTTTTTTATGATAAGGGATATTACTAGCAAAAGAGAAATTGGCATATAATTTAACATATATTTTTTACTTCCTCTTTCATAGATGAGCCTCGCAACAGCTATTTTGAGGTCGTTCGATATCTTTCTCATAGAAAGCAATGAAATAACTATTTTAAGTATCACATATTTTAGTTTTGAAAAATGTGCCACAAGCTCTTACATATCCGGTCATTCCCAGGAGGCTTGGCCACCGACATACTTTTAATAATTGTATTTAAATAGTCTTCTGTCATTTGTGGTAAGTAAGCCGAGTTGCAGCATCTTATTGTATGGCTGACTGAAGTCCCAATATACCTGCGCCCCTTAAACACAAAAAGGGAATATAAAATAATATTCTGCCACTTTTTGCTTAATAATTCCCAACACCGTTTTCAGCTTGTTCAATCTCACAACAATGGGATGATGCATGTATTTGTAATTTGGTTTCCCAGTCGCTCTTTCCTTGTATAGTTTTGAAATTAGAATTTTGAGACCTAATCCCGATAACAAATTCAGGTAGTTCACAACCCCATATTTGGTTACGTTCATCGCATCGATGTTGAAATCACCAGCAATTATAAGCTGACTGTTGTTGTTAAATGTGTTTAGTAGCCAAAACATTTCATCATAAAAAAAAGCAGGGTCTCCAAGACGACCTGAAGGCGAAAGCCCAAGCACCGATGCATCAAAGACATGATTTACGGATGAGGCGGTACCCGCGGAGGGGTACCGCTTCGGGCTACTGAACGAGATGCCGCTGGTTCGATGCCAGTCGAAGGAAAAGAGCGAAAAGTTTTTTTCGGAGGAATATGCGCCTCTGCCGCTTCTGGCACAAGTAACGCCATCTTGCGGTTCAGTGGTGAACCGTGGGTTTTCATACCTTTCGTGTCGCCGTCGAGTTCCGATAGCTTTCGTGAGGACGCGTCTTCGCTCAAGGACTTCGAAGGTCGACTTAACGATGAAATGTACGAGGCTTTCGCCTTAATAAAAGAAGGGTAGAGCCGATAGCCTGTAAACCAAGGATATAACAAAGGAAGTAATTTTGTTGGAGATGGTGATAACGAGCACTTCAGCATGATTGCACTTGCTCGGACAGCCAGTCAGTCTTTATATATGGAAGTATTCCCTCACCGCATTGTCCTACTTTGCGCAAAGAATATGAACGGAAACTTTCTAGAGTGAAGAACGAGCTGGTAGTTGCATCAACATTTATTTCGGTTCAAATTAATACATCAAGACAGTCCACTTGATCAACCAGGTAAATTAGTAGTTGATCTCAATTTTTTTGTATGCTGCTTATATTAATATGTAGAAGGTTTACAAACGAGAACCCCGCCTTCATCAAGGGGAGAGGGCAAAGAGCATGTTGTTTCCGTCGACTAACCATACCAGCCACGCTACAATAAACAAAGCACTTGCCTCTGAGACATTTGTTTTACCCACCAGAGATGGCAGTCTGCTGGGGTGGAGCTTGGTCCCACATGTGATCAATTTAGCTCAAAAAGATTTTTCGGTGAATTAAGCGGTGAAGTTATCCCTGCCAAATGTAGCAAGAAAATTTTCCCACGGTTCTCAAACTCTGTTTCTAGGAACACGGGTGTTCCCGAGCTCCAAAAGTTTCTCAATCGTCTTCACCACCATGTAAAACGGTTTCCCTGTTTAAGCACTATTATAGAGACCATTCAATAGTATGTGAACTATTGTTTAGAGTTCCCATAAACTTCTCTGCGCCACCTTATTGTATCGGTGTTGAGATTGAAAGGGTCCGTCGGCAGTCGATCGTTTGAGTTTGAGAATGCTTGCCATAAACAACTCAATTTTTTTGAAGACCTAATTTTCTCGAATTTCGCGACTTCGAAAATGTTGCGTAAGAGATGCATGATAATGAATACGTGGCATATCGCTTCAAATCACGGAAAAAAACCAAAAACATTATAGAAAGCTACGCTTCATGAAATCTGCTTGAACTCGTGACAATATAGCCGTTTACGGTATTTAGCTGATCAAATTTCTCGACTAGGTTTTACCGGAAAATGCTTTGTGCATTTCCCTGCTCATTTTATCGGGGACTACACAAATATAGCCTGAATGAAGTAGTATGTGCAAAGACTCGACTGTTACCACCATTCATTTGTAAATTTTGCAGTAAGGAACCAGGAATTGTTTTTTTTTTTTTTGTGAGAAATGACGCATTTTGGTTGACTTGATCACAGACGGAAACAGAGCGCGGCAAATCTTGAGCGCCGATATCATTGGTCCCGAGAGAAAGAGAGAGAGTGACAGCGACAGAGGAGCAGTAAACAAAAGCAGACAATAGGTCAGGCATGTTCGTTTTGCCGCGATGAGTTAAAAAGTCATTCGAGCGCTTGTCAACTTTCTTTATCTTTTAAAATGCACGATGCCAGTGTTTTCCTGCAATGTAAGCTAGAAGAGAACTAGGCACAGACCTTACTGGTGATGTTTCACTGCATCTTTTTTTAAGGCATCGCCAGTGATTTGGGCCTGTTGGGTCATTGACATCTGCATCCATACCCTGCTGTTCTGAAGCAGCCAGAATGTGTGGGACCTTTCCCTCTAGGTCATTACGTGTATTAATTTTATGCCATATTTAGAGCAGAGTGACTAGTAGATCGCTCGCTGTCCATCTCTATGTTCGATGGCACAGTGCTTTCAAGTGTGCACTCGCACATAAGTGTACAGACGGCACTAAAAAAGATTAGCACATGTCAGCGACTGCCAGACCAACGAAAGGGGGACACGTGGTGCTAGTCTCGCCAAGAACGGGAACAAGATTGCTTGACTGGCTCTACCTTTGTAGCACGGGGGAAAAATATTTGATTTTAATGTGAAAGCATTAACTGTCTCATGGAGGGAGCTGACGTCATCAGTTGGAAGTGCGAATACGGCTCCTAGTTTCCGTGCGCCGTCGATTCTATTGGCTCGCGCGTCAACAAGCCTTTCATTGGCTGCTGCGCCATGGCCTCCGAGATCCTGAAGAGCGCGCGCGCTAGTATGCAGCAGATGACAGCTAGTACGCAGCAGACGACAAAGGGAGCGGACAAGCGGCTTGCATGCTTTCTCATTCACAACTCATAAGAAACGCTTAGGTGTACCTTGAGCTTTTTTGTGCCAAAGCAACAAGGCATCATCTATAATGACTCCAGCGAGGAACTGGAGATTCATTTCGACCACCTGGAGATCTTTTTGACATGCAACTGCAAGCTCAGCCTTCTCTGCAATAAGCCTCCTTTGGATTGCGGGCACACAGGCCGAGATTCAAACCTGTTACCTGGGGATCCGAGCCACCGAGGCACATGTAACACGGGGGAGGTCGGCAGACAGCAGCCCTCTCCAAAGCACTCTTTCGAAACGCTGCTGCTCTAGCTGCCTCGGGCTTTTCCGGCCATGCGTGACTGTCCACATGGGGTCTCTTTTCGCTTGCCCGTCGAGAGGAGTGGTACTACCTTGTTTTATCTATTGTTTTACCGTCGCCGATGGGTTCTAAGACGCTGAATCGACAAAGACCACAGATGACAGCATTGATCTATAAATAAAAAAAGGAGCTTTTGCAGACGACAGCTGTCTCTGCAAAAGCCCATTAGTAGGTCTGCCGAGGCACCCCCGAGATTGAAAGGTTTGAAGGCTCGGCCACTTTTGCTTCCAATGTATTCATGACAATGAAGCGTCGCACACGGCAGCGGACCTTTAGCTAAATTACCCAAGCATCAAAGAGAATGTCGGGAACATAAGTACTATATGCACTGCACGTGCTCGCCTTCCCTATAGAAAAGATTTCAAGTAAATAACCAAAATAAAGCATCTGTGGAACGCGCGTGAGAAGTGAAATTTGTTTTAGATTTTTGCTTTCAAAGAGCTAGAGCCGAAGACGCTAGCACATGCAGCGCGTGTACCCATATTCCCGGCATTCTTTTCTATGCTGGGGTGATTCGGCAAAAGGTCTCTATTGGACCGTTTCAGCCGTTGATCACTTCCGCTAATGTTGTTTAGTGCCGTGGAAACATTCCCACAGGGCTACAAAAGTGCTTCCAGTCACGAATGGCAGGCAAAGACAGCCTCGCATGTGCAGAGATGCTCGACAGTTCTTTTTCGTCGAGGTGGGTCACCTTATGACCGAGAGACTTGCTTGCTTCTAAAGCCACAGTGCTCGCACGTCATAGAAAAGACTGACACTGTCTGAGGCGTGTTTCTTCTTTGTACTATGGCCTTGTCACATTGGTCGTACACAAACCGTCTGCAGACACGTTCGAAGCATATGTATGTATGGAGCAAGCCTGCTTCTAACGTGCCCCGGGCATCTCCGCAGATAATTCGGACATCGTGTCCGCAGCGAACAGCGTTCCCTTTGTATGGCGTATGGGCAGTGTGACTGCGGCTTTAGGTTCCAATGAACTCGGGGCAAGTCTGACGACTCTGGGTGAATGAGCCCAGTTCGTATTTAGCCGACTGTGATTGCAGAAATTTATTGCGGCATCGTAGGACGCGAGATTAGTTTTTCTCCATACCGTATGTGTAATACGGTGCAATCCATTTATAACGATACCACATATAACGATGTGCCACTTATAACGATCAGTTTCTAGAGTTTCTGGACTGGAAATAATCAGTTTCTAGTCCAGATACAACGATAATCGGTTATAACGATTGAAATTTTGGGTTTTCTCATTATCGTTATAAGTGGGTTGCACTGTATTGCGTACTACGCAGCTCGCCCGGTACTTTGAAACAAAAATTCATTGGGTACTGAGGACGACAACACCGACCTACGCAATGTTAAGGATCAATAGAGCAATTTCCACATTCGCAAAGAAATTCCCGAGGTTGGCAGCACTGGCTGAGGCAGACATTGCAGTGGAAATCATTCTTTAGAAAAAAAAGAGAGGACACACCATCGCCTTATTTTTTACACCTTTACTATGACTCCAAAAGGTCGCAAAAACACTTTTCAAACATGGCTACAAAAATATGGAGCTTTAAACGCAGCTCCCACAACGAAGTGTATACATCTTTTTTTTTTTTTTTTTGCTTTTCTTCTCATAGTTGCGTAGAATGATGGAAAAATATGCTTCGTCTGTAAACATTGGAACTGGGGTATAAGGCACCGGACCTCCGCACAACCAACCTTCGAGTCGATGGAGAAGTCGCGCGAGACTTTAGGCTGGTCCGCACACTCGCGTCTGCCTACGACAAAGTTCTCGCGATCTCTCACGACGAGACACTGGCACACGGTGTCACCTACGAGGTGGCCCTGAAACTATTATGTCTCACTAGAGCGAAGGTTTTTCAGTTTTCGCGAGATCAAATGTGCTTACTATCTACGAGAAATGATCGTTTGTAACATCGTCAAAAGCTTATCGAGCCAATAAAGGAGGAATGATGCGCGAAAAAAGTAGGAAATATATGGAACTCACAAGTGTCCCACTGCGCATTCTCTCGTCGCGAGAGATCACGAGAGGTTTAAATGAACTCTGTCGTAAGCAGTCGCAAGTGCACGAACCAGCCGTAATTTGACGCCCCAACACTCGCCCTACACAGCGCTTCCGGGGAGAAACGCATAGTCGGCAAAAGAGTAGGACTTCTCTCTGCATGGCATTTTGAGACATTGCAAAGTCCACATGGTGTGGAGGCTTTGATGTCGAGATTAGATGAAAATACCAAAAAGAAAAAAAAAAACTCCCTACATGGTAACAAACGGTAGAAAAGTGGAAAGAGACCACTAAATGGGCAGTTCCGTCCGAAACGAAAAGCAACTGCTCGTGCACGAAATTCGGTAAGTACAGAACAGGAATGTATTGCACAGTCGGCGTTGTAAAGGGATAAAAATCCGAGAGGACGAGGCTCGAAACGAAAACGGAAAGAAACAAAACTATCGGGCAATTGTCACGATTTAACCGACATTCTCCACAACTTTTGCGTAGCCTCCTCGAAAAGAAAAAAAAAATGGCAACATGAAAATTGACGGCGATTATGTGATTATGGTTAGCCCCAACGAAAGAAACGAGAAAACAAACCGGCAAACGTCGTTTGTTCCGTAAGAAGAGAGAAGCGCGCCAGGCTCGACGAAGTGGAATGTGGAAGAACGACGGGTCGCGCACACTCGTAAATTTGTTCGACGTCCAGTGGATGCGTGGAAGTGATCCGAGCGGCCGACAAAAATAGCTCCGTTCGGTTTCTTGCTACCTCCATCTCTCCGCGCACGACGAGCAAAACAGAACGAAGTTAACGGTGGCAATTGCACTCCGTGGCACTTAAAAGCTACATGCCACGGTTCTCAACACCAAATTCTCGCAAGCACAATTCTTTCGAGCGGACGTAGCGAGTTGGCTTCTTCCCTAAACAGTGGAAGAGAAACTGCAGCCGCCACGTCCGCGAGCCTCTGTAAATAACAACCGTTGCTCATAGCCATCGTGAACCAGCCAAAAAACAGTTGCAGGCACCTAAGTCCGACATAGCTCGGACTAAAAGCTGCAGCAAAGTATGGTTGCTAGTGCCGGCGCAAAACTGTCGATAGCACTGTTGATAGTTGTCACGAAGGACCGGTTGACTGGAATCAGTCACCTATCGGAATAGAAAAGGGATCTCTAGAAGAGCGTAAAAGGGACATTTGACCTCAACTTTTCGTGCGTGATAACTGGGACCAATAGGTTGCACCCAAATGGCTCCCCGTTTTCTGCATCTTGGGAAAAGCTATTTAAAACTTAAAAGGACCTGCTTGTAGAGGTACACTCGATTCACGGGCCAAAAAGTACATTTAAGTCGGCAATACCACAACTGTGAGCTTACCACAATGTTCCTTTACTACTAATAGTAAAGCAGTTTCTTTTGTTTGCTACGATGGTATCCGGACTGCCGACGCCAACGTCACAAGCTTGCTGCAACTTTTAGATGCCGACAGACCAAGAATTTCATTATACCATAGTAGAAAAATGTGTTTCCGTAAAAAAACCTCGGCCTAGTCTACTACCGTCCAGGACAGCATTTTCATAGTCGCGTACATGTTTCGAGACGAGCCTTCAAAGGCCTCTCGGTCATCCCATGTAGACCATCCACAGTGCCGTCGACACTTTCGCAAAAACTTGCAGACGGTACACGTCACCTCTTCCAATAACCGACGAAAAACAGAGGCAACGACGGTAAAAGCACCGAAGATACAAAGAAAGAAGATCGGGGTCGCGTCTACATCTGTTCGATGAGCTCATACTTTTTCTTCAGGTCCATCTGGACCTTTTTGGGGTCATGCTTCTTGCGCTGCGCCAACAGCTGCCGCATTTCCGAAGCGCTCATGTTGAGGTTGAGCGACCCGTTGCTCGCTCCCTTCGCCTCAGAAGTCGTCGTCGTCGTCGTCATCGCCACTGTGGAAGCACCGCCGTTGGCTTCGGTGGGGACACGAGGAGGCTCCACCGGCTTGGCCTGCGGAAGTTTCGGTGGCTCCGGCTTGGGCTTCGGCTCATCCGGTTTGACCACCTCGGTTTTGACCACCTCGGTCTTGATGACCTCTGTCTTGACTGCCTCTGGTAGGGTCTCCTTTGGGGTGGGGGTTTCCTCTCTGGTCTCCGGTACCTCGGGTTCCGTGTCGTCCGGCGGCTGAGAGGCAAGCGGTACCGCCGAAATTGAAGAATTTCGCGGCGTTGGAGGGGAAGGAAAATATGAGGTGGTCACAGTGTTTCTTACGACAAAATAGGAACCGGAGACATCAGTGCCTGCACATACAAAGCTCAAAATTTCACCGAATGTGCATTTAGGTGGTGGATTTTACCTTGGCAACTCTCAAGGTAAAGTTATTTTTCTGTAAAGAATGAGACCAACAAACATGGTCGCATCAACCAAGTTTGTTGGTTTGACGTCCGTGGTCTACCAAAGTCAACAGTGAATGTGTTTGCAGACGACCAAGTAAGAGATGAACGAAGCTTGTGGCGCCATCTCCCGATAGGCGCAGCTAGCAGACAACGAAGTGTATCGTCTGGTCACTGTACCTATCGGGAGATGGTGCCACAAGTTAAATCTATCGCTAACTCTGTCTTCTGCAAACACGTCTGTCGTTGACTTTGGCAGATTTGTTGGTCTCATCTTTTACAGGAGGAGAACTATGCCTTGAATTTTTGCGAGGAAAAAATCCCTCACATAAATGCAGATTCTATGGAAGTTTGACCTGCCTGTGTTCAGGCGTCCTGTTCAGGTCCATTTTGCAGCGTAAGGAACACGGTGGCCACTCTACACATATACTAACAGCAAATAAAAAAGTATTCCCAAAAATACTAGGTCTCTCAGTGAAAATGTCAGCTGCTGCTGACGCGACCAGGAAGGTCAATGCAAGTAGAAAGATTCCTGTAAGGCAGTTTTTTATAGGCGGTTAAAGGAGAAACAGCTCTGGCAGTTTTTTGAGCTACGCAAATCAAACACATTTTCGGAATTCACATTCTTTGTACTCTTTCCGATGTGCCATCTATAATCTCCAAATTCAAAATAGCCATTGACGAAATGGCAAATAAAGGTTATGCCAAAACCAACATTCAAATTTTCCCGTGCTCTCCAGTGGGATGAAGTTGCATAACTGGCAAGTCGTGCAGGCAGCCTAAAAACAATATTTGGCATACATCCTTCCTTTTTTTTCAGTTCTTTTTTTTTTTTTTTTTAGTTTTCCTGGCACGAGCTTAACCAGCATTCATTTCGCACTATCTGACTTTTTGTAACCCACCGGGAACAAGCTGTAATGCCCCCTAATGCCGGATGCTATGGGGCATTACGATGTGACACATATCTGGTGTCGCAACTGAGTGATGCCATAAGAACCTCCGGACCAAATTCGAGACCGCAATATTTTGTAGCGAAAAAAAAAACTATTACGACTCATGATTTGAGTTACTGGTTCAAGTGCGTCTTTTAACGTGTTGAAATAATTTTGAGGCCGATCAATGACTATAAAACTTTTGCTGGAGCTCTTTCTACTAGCATTAATCATGTTTGTACTTTATTCGGACAATTATTACGGACGTAGCGCCACCAAGTCCACCGCAGACATCAAATTGGAAAGAGGTGAGAGAAAATTTGCAGCATTCTCTCGAACGCCGAGCTGGGCCGAAAAAATTAAACGCTTTCGTTAAAGACGTGGATGAAGTACTCTGGGAGCTGCGACCGACACGGCTGGAGCGAGAGGCGTGTTGACGTGCAACACGCCCCTCCTCCTTTTGTTGTCAATATTTTTTTTTCTGAAAGACATCATGTCAAAGCGTCACGATCGAGCTGGACCGAGAGGCCAAATCAACTCGCCGGCTAGGCAACTCTGACGGAGCTGCCGCATTCGAAATGCTTTTGTGATGCCGAATGCCGAGGCAGCTTACAGTAAGAATGCATTTCACAATTCAAAAACTAAACTGGTTCAGTATTCCTGCCACGAGGAAATTTTTACGCTTACTTATGTTGGATCAACAAAATAAACTGGCTCTTGATGCAACCGAATGGATGTACAAAAGGTACCATACTTTTCGGTGTATAAGTCGCTGTGTTTTTCGAAAAGTTTCGTCGGGGCATTTTATGCAACGGTGCAACTGGCACAGATTTCTTTCAATGACTATGGTCTTTAACCGTGAAACTTTGCCACAACAGTTACGTTTCTCGTTTGATGAGAATGTTGAAACTTGCTCTCGCTTGCAAAAACATTGCAATCTAATACACATACGGGCGGTGTGTATGCAACTTGGGCATACGAAGGTGCAAATTATATACCATCTTTCTCGTGAAAATGGCTGTTTATAGGGTGGTGCGACTTATAGACCGGAAAATAGGATAGTTAAACCGCTTGTTCCAGCCGCAACTCACCGGAGAAGATGGCAGGGCGGGGGCCCTATCCTCCACGCCGTCCGGTTCATCTTGCCGCTGCACGACGAAGCTGGACAGGGTGGTTGTGTGCTGCGTCACCTTCTCGTTGTCCTCTTCCGACAGACTCTGCCTCCTCTGCAGCGACACCGAAAGAGGTGAAAACGCTCTTTAAAGGAGCCGACAACAGATCGATACTGTGAGGTTGAACGACACTTGACGTTTCGTGCACTCGAGGGTTTTCATTTTTTCGTCACCTTTCCTCACAAATTAGCGATAGATTGTACAATAATGGAGGACAGAGAGAAGCAGTAGACAGGAAGGGCGCACGTCTACTGCCTATCTCTGTCCCTGTGTGTTGCACGCTGTATCACCGATTTGTAAGAATGAACCAACTCGCCTGTGTCACCCAAATTTGATTCACCTTTCCTCCCGGAGCACTTTACCAACTCTTCCTATACTCTGTTTCATCTTAAGCCCGCAAGCTACCAATGCTACAAGTTGATGGGGCTAATCAAGCTTCTTAAAAAAAGCTAGGTTACGACACTTGTTGTGTTTCTATGCATGTGATCACCACCAACTGATCTAATCAAGTGTGACGAATGTATCGCGACATCACACTTTTAGCCTGCGTCTTTGTGTTTGCGTTGCAGTCAGCTTTTGGCCCCGCCCGGTCTTAAGGGGGCACTAAAGTGCTTTTTGATATCCTCAATTTATGGTCAAAACTCAACCTAAGAACTCTAATCATTCTAAGAAATCTGAAATTACATTTATGTGCAGCCAATTTGTGTATTAAAAAAGTGATCAAAGATCTTGACACTCACCGCTGGCGCAGAACGACAGATGGCGCTACCAGATTTTGCTGAATATGGTTGAGCGACAGACGGCGCTTGACAGCCACTTGAGAGCAAAAGATTCCCACGAGGACAGGCGGGACTGGTCAGCCACTCACCCATGCAGGAACTCATCGCTCGCAAGTGGCTGACACACGCCGTCTGCCGTTCAATTATATTCAGCAAGGTTCGGCAGAGTCATCTGTCGTTCTACATGAACCGTAAGTGTTGGGAAGCTTGATTCTTTTTTAGTACGCAAATCGGCCAGGCATGGATGCAATATCGGTTTTTTAGGATGCTTAGAGTTCATAAAATGAGTTATGACCATAAAATGAGGATCCCCAAAAGCACTTCAGTGCCCCTTTAAGATGAAACAAAGTATAGATGACAAATCAGTAGTACTGGATCCTCTATGACACCTGCAAGAGGCCAATTAGACATGAGTCCAGTGTCAGTGTTGGGCCGAGACTGGTGCTGACTCGGCAAGGACATGAGTCCCAAATGAACCTTGACACAGCACCTATGTCCAGTTCATGCCTTGCTGCGTTTAACTCTGGTAGAAGACACAAAAGAACCGGTGCTATGGTCCTGCCACCTAGGAGGCGTTGAGAGGATCCTCTGCTTTTATTCACCTCTATTCTTCTTTTGCCACCCTTGCAGTTGGGCAGAAAGTAAGAAACCCTCCACCTAGTGGCAGTTAGATCTCGCATACATCTAAGTCTAAAAAAAAAGTCACCAAAAAAAGGTATAGAAAAACTTGTTCTTAACAAAATGGTCACGGAATCTGTCATAAAAAAACGCCAAACACCCCAAAAAAGCAAAAAGAAACATAGAACTTTATATAAGCCATCTAGAAATGCCTAGTCATTGTTATGTCGGAGCAAACCCTTTTCATATACCTATTGAGAAGTCTAGCAAATTATTATTTTGAAATTCCCTGACTTTTCCAGGTTTTTCCTGACAATTTTAGCTGAAATTTCCTGGCCAGTGCAGAGGCGGTTAAATATATAAGACCATTACAACACAAGGCATTCAGCATTGAGCACTGTGAGCATCATTTTGCACGGGCTTAATCCAACTTGCATATTCTGAAATATTTGGGTTCGTCCAGTCCGGATTAAACGAGCACTTTCTTGTCGCCAACATTGTCAGTGAAGAGGCCACTTCCGGAAACACAATGAAAACACGACGCTCAACCACACACGTCAATAACCGAATGTCAGCATCGCGCATTCCTGCCAGATGCGCACTCTCGGATACTTTCGGCTTAATGCTTGGATTGGATGGAGGTCTGCGGCTTTCCCATTTGTTACTAAATCTAGTAGCTCTAACTTGATCAAGCCTAGTGTCGTGCCCTCAATCCAATCCAAGGCTTGGACTGGATTTGTCGGCTCTTCCCTTTGCATCGGGTAGCACACTCTACATCGGGTGAGCAGAGCCTGCGCTCCGCTCTAAGGAGAATTTGTTGCCGATTCTTCTGCCTTCAAGTTCTCGTGTCTTTGCTCAGGGCACTCGATGGCGTTTCCGGCTCATTTTCCCTGACTGGCTCTCTCTTTGGCAATATCCCTGACAATTCCCTGATTTCTGCCGGTAATTAAAATTTCCCTAACAATTCCCAGTTTTCCAGGTCGCTAGAGCCCTGCTCATGCTCTTTTCTGATAAGAATACAGATGCTATTAGCTGAAATAACAATGATTAGGGGGTACTTCTAGATCCATTATGTTTTAAAGCCTGTCTATAGACACCCGTGTTTTTCTGCACTTTTTTGCAAACTTTTAAGACAAACCGACTGGCCCACTTTCTCACATTACCTCTGAACTCGTCAGGAACATCTGAGACTGAAACCTAAACCAGCACAAGTGTAGACCATAGCGTTTTTATAGACTGACAGGTGCATGAAATAAGCACGGTGGCAGAGTCATGCCCAACGTTGCTAGATCACTTCAGTTGTGGAACTTCCCAGAGATACGGTACAACGGAAAGCGTTCGAAACTGTGTCCGATTTTGTATAGTGGTGCCATTGCAAGCACACCTCGCGCACCTCATCTGTTTGCTGTAAAATTTGAATAAGAATCAGATATAATGTGAATCTGTTGCATGAGCATACTTTGCACCTTTAGCAGGTGAGGATTCTCAACCTGTTTCAATAACCACAAAAACACAAAGGAAACATGTTATTTACAGAACAAACTATAACTATACAAATAATAGCCCCACACATTCTATAAATAGTTTGCCACCCAAAAGCACGAAGAAGGCTGGCCAACAATGACGATAATGTCTCCTAATGCAGAGTGCACGCTACCTGGCAGGTGAAAGACACACGAAGGTGCCTCTTTCCAAAGTGGAGTTCTACGACGGGATTCAGCCTAATGTGCTGGTCACGCTCCTATAGTTTGCGGTACTCTTGCTCTTGGGACGCGACACGAGACGCAAAGCTGCGACAATGGCGACGCTCGCCCCCGTTCGCCCATTTTCACCGGTATTTCTATAACCAATTGCCAGGATTGCAAAGCCGACGGCATGACACGCCAGCTCCTGTGACATTGCTCGTTGCCACTATGAGACCACTTTTGAAGCATTGGTCGGAAGGACAGTTATCTGCCTTGGCACCTATATATGAAATGCAAACAGCATAGACAAATTAAAAAAAAAAATCATAAATATAGTTAGAGACACGTTTCAAGCACAATATTAATAGCACGATGCTCTCTTGTGCAAGCTGAGAGTGTGGTCAACTCACCAGGACCGGGGTCGGGGCGTCTGTGAGGACTGCGTCCTCCTCGGTGTGCCTCTCCTCGGCCTCCCGGTCTCCCGCCGTGGCCGGGTTGAGGGCGGGGTTCCTGAGCTGCACCACATTGGCCTGGCTGCCCGTCACCGCTATCTTGTGGTCCCGGTACCACTTCTCCGCCTCCAGGCTCACCACCAGCAGGTTTGTCTCGTTGGGGACCTGGCAGAGGGGACAGAAAATGTTCATCTCTCTCTATATAAACTGTAGCAAGGTATGCAGTTGGGTGGCTCTTAAAAGCTCCGTATAAACATTTCAGTTTTGCCACTTTTTTTTTTACAATCACCCTTTTATTTTATGGAACTTGGAAGTATTGTAATGTATTTTTGGTAATTTGCTACAATCTGCACACCACATTTCTTGGTATCTTTAGTTTTTTTTCTTCTCACAAATCACTGCTCTTGTGGACAGCATCACAACAAACCAGCTATTAACAGTATGTCGCTACTTCTTGGGATTATTTGACACCTGAATCTACTTAGCAGCACCTTTCTAAATAAATCCCATTTTACCTGTCAGCTAGAGAGTCGAATAAGACGACTCAGAATAAACCCAATTTCTCCCTGACACCACAGCTTGGCGCAGCAACAAGAGCAGTTTTGTGTTTAGAGAACCGACGGCTCTCCGGCTGAAACAGCTACAAAGAAGACTTTTGTGCCACTCAATTTATGATAGAAAATTTTCTCTGGCTTATCACCTATGAAGCAGAGAATATAAATGGCTACATACCGTAGAATACCGTGCATCCGCCCATACCCAAATTTGTAAAATCTGAGAAAATATGCACAGTACATTGATATGTAGAATTGATGACTGGACAAGCGCCCATCCCCCATTTTTTCATGATTATCTCAAAATTTTGAGTGGGCGCTTGCCCGGTATTTTACGGTATAAATCGATGCAAAATTAATTTGTACCTTGATTTGCAGAATAATACATATATTTTAGAAACTCAACCCTGAAATACCCCCCACCGTGGCTACAAGTTCTATCGGTTACCTGTTTTGACAGAGACACTAGCCGGTGTAAGATGAAACTGAATTTTTAGAGGCCTGCAAGCAGCCAGTCAGGCTAAGTAATGGGTAGACCCAACTAAGCTTTTACAACTTTGCAACTAGAGACAACCTCAATTGCTTCAGGTGCAATTTGGAACGCATAAACGTGGTCTGCACAAGTGTCTCTATCTCTTGCCCACAGCCCTTTGCTCCCAGCGATCCAAACTATGTCAAGATATATATATGTATATAAAAAAAAGAACTGCACAACATTTTTTTCTCTATTTTGTTTAAAAATGTTGGGTTTTACCCGACAGAATCAGGTGAACCCTAGCCAAATGGGTGTGGACTCATCTGCTTTTTCATTAATTTTGACATGTTTTCTGTCAACAAAAACTGATTTATAGATACTGTGAGTGAGTGATTAAAATTATGCCCTCTCTGCTTACAACCCTACAACAATTACTGCCTTCCAGAACTCTGCTACCTTAATGCGTAACTGTATTTCGATGAGAAAACCTATTAAGTGGCACAGCCTTTCGAATTTAATGAGACATTTAATGAGTCATAAAAAGCAATAATAGCAGTCAGAAGGTAGTATTGAATAACTTAAGCAAGCTTTAGCTCGAGGACAAGAACAGCTGGCCAGTTGGCCTACGTTTTGGGCATGCAGGTTCAAGAGCTAGGAAACCATGTTTTCAATCATAGATGCACATCAGCTTATCCACAGATATATAGATGCAAATTATAAAATAGAGCAAGTACACTTTTAGGTTAGTACACGACACGGTGCATACTCTTTTATCTTAACGAACCATCAAGCTATTCGACAACTTTCCAAATTGTTATCGTTATTCTGACGTGCTTGCAGAGCCGCCAAGTTAGATCACGAGACCCACCACGTCAGATATGCCGCAGAAAAACAAGAAAGTGTGGTTGACGTAATTTCCGAGCTTGTGGTTATTTCCACCGATTTTGCTGTCGCCGTTAGGAGGTGAGTCACTTAACTGCTGTTGGCACCGATGTTATTCCCGGTCCCATTGTGAAAGTACACAATGAACCGCTTGCATCCCTTTTGTAGACGACTATTATATTAAGCTTACTTGGTCCAGATGTTTTTCATAGTGCGCTTAGATTTCAAAGGGGTTTCAACTGCTTGATCGGGGTCACATGGTTAATGGGCCACGTTTTTAATACGAGCTGCGAGAAGGCGGCGAAAGTGTCAATCCCCCCCATCTGCAGCCACTTCTGCCTCTCCGCCCACTTTCCTCTTCGCCATGCGACAACGCAACGCCTGTGAACCTGCGACCAATTTGCACGGGAGGCATCCGCCATTAAATTGCAAATGCTCTCCGTGGTTTCAATTGCTCCCTCCCTTAAATCTAGGCTCTCTGTAGTTTTCCAGACACTTGGAAGCAGCGTAATATAGTGCCTGTCCACAAATGAAGACAGACGACGGCCTCTCATCTGTGTTTATCCAGAGCCATTCGATGTTCACAAATATGCACTGCCAGTTTTAAAAAAAAATAAAACGCCCCTGCCTCCCCTCGGCGCAGGTTTATACTGAGTCAGTCGACGATTAATTTACTAGAATGGACAGTTGGGCTAGTTGGCATGCGTTCATGATCAAAAACAGCGCAAAACACAAGGACACAGTGCCTTGTCCTGTGTATTTCTCTCCTCTGTGTCCTTGTGTTTCGCGCTGTTTTTCATCATGATTAGTTTAGCGTAGCAATTCCTACCTCCCCGGTGTAAAAACCGTAGCCAAATAGCCATTGTTTGTTACGACTGCAAATGGGATAAGGGGATCGGTGGCGCAGTTGGAAGCACGAAGAGCAAAAAGCTTGCGTCTAAGAAACTAGGAATCCTGTTCAATCTTTGCCCCTGCCCGTTTCGATCTGGATGGGCATCCTACCGGCATGCGGTCGTGCAATTACTGCCGCGTAATGCAAGTAAAAAACTCCAAGCTAGCTGTGCTACTGCACCAGTGCGCACTGGCTACATTTCTCATCAACAGCAGAGACACCTGGTGCACACTGGGGCTGCCTAACTTCCCGCTGTATAGACAAACATACAATTAAAGCAACATACGAGGTGTCAATGTCAGCATGGCAAGAGTTCCTCCGAGCGCTACAAGCTTGATGGCACGAAGAAAGCCCTCTGAATGCTTGAGCTGAGAGTGCACCACAGGGTATGCAATACCAAGGTGGAAGAAACTAGATCAACTGAAATCCTTTTACCGTTTTAGCGGGTCTACAATACTCCCAATGGCTTGCGCCCCCCAAACACAGGGATCATGCTGCAAGAGTGCACACGATGATGATACAAAACAATGACGATATAATGATGCTCACACCAACGTTTCTAGATCCATCGGTTGACAAGCTCTACGGATTAGCAAAGTTAGAAAACGGTAGGTATAAGGTTTAAAAGCGCAAACAGACAGGGACAATAGAAAATAACTCAAACGACAGCAACAAGCGCCTTGTCCCTGTCGTTTGTGTTATTTTCTGTTGTCCCTGTCTGTTTGCGCTTTTAAACCTTATATTTATTATGGACCAACTAGCCCAAACCAAAGTTTTAATTAGAAAACGGTCCTCTTCTGTTGTCTGCATGCAAGCAGGTACGGGGGGATAGCGATCCTGGTGCCTCCACCAGCGCCGCTCCCAAGGGCAACCAAGAACCGTTTCTGAACAGCGCTCTTCTTGAGCAATCTTTCATGCAAGCTTTATATAAGTTCACCATAAAAACCGCATTAGGAACACTTTCCACCGCAGACAATGTGCATCCAATGTTCCATCAATTCCGTCGCTTCTGTCCGTATGGGCTGGGTCGATGGCGTAGCGACCACCGCGAAGCGGACGTGCCACGAATAGGCGCTAGGCATTCTAGGAAGCTCGTCAACTGATATTGATCGAGTGACGTTGGCTCTGACTGCCTATCTCATTAGATGATGAGCCAATTCCTTTCCTTATACAATATTTGTGTCTCGAACCGGATGCCTTATGATGCCCATTCCTCACATATCGATCTTCCACCAGGTAGAGTCAGTTTTAGTGTACACCTATATATACTTTAAAAGACGCATGCACAAACTTTCTACTGGTCAGCCGCCCCTTTTTTCTAGTGAATACTATTGCCTCATTTGGAATTGAGAATGGCCAGATGGAACTCTTTATGGCGTGCCTGTGATGTGACCACACGCACATCAAGACCCAGCAAAACAATGCATACACCAATACAAAAAGAACAGAATAAAATGTGCAAGTACGCAAGACTTAAGTTTAGCATGCAACCAAATGGGAAAATTCATAAACAACTGCCATTCCCGTCCCTTAAAAAAAAACAAAAGCGAAGACTGTTATTGTTATGATAGATAATGTCAAGTTCATGTGCAGAACTTCTATTCTAGCTGTGCATAAGCAACAAGGTTTAACATGTTTATTACAGTAGGCAAAATGCATAACTTGATAAAAAAAAATTGTAAATACAGACTGACAATAACAACTTGGGTAGACTAAGGTAATTGAGCACACACCTGGAAAAAAACATGACATCTGCTAGAAACTTAGTGATGCAATGCCTCTAATGCATGGTAATTAGATACATCTGCATAACAGCATGCTTGATGCCATGGGGATAGAAAGAACATAGAAATATAAACAAATTATCTTTCAATGCAGTGTGGTAAATATGTGGACTTGGTTAGGTCATTCCATGAGAATAACGAAACTATATAAAATATATGGAAACATCTGATCCAACATGGCAGCAACAAATGCGTTTGTCGCTGCCCTGTCCTGTCCTCCCTTGTCCTTTGTCTTCTACGCTAATATTTTTTTTATAATGTTCAACTAACTAGGCACCCAACTTATTTTGTTACAACAAAAGTGCTCTAGATTGCATGAATTAAGCTTTGACTCAAAGTAACATCCAGGTCCCAAATGATTGCTGCAGGTGGTTCAATTCATTCAATGTATTTCAATTCAATCACATGTTTTATTACACTCTCAGGCAGGCCTCAGGAGGAGTGCATGTGCATGACATGAAATAAGAATTTGACTAAAAACAAAATAAAAGAACAATTTCTTTATTTAATTAAATTGGACTTGCTTTATTTAAATCAGCCTTCTTTGAATTAAATCATGTTAATTTTATTTAAATCATTGTAGTTTTAAAATAGTGATTCTTTATCTATAGATGTATTTTTGAACAAGGCAGATTGATTGATCAATCTGTCCAATGACTGATAACAATCTGGAAGAAATAATTATTGTAAATAACTTTTTACTGAAGTAGTTCCCAGAACAGAATCATAGGGATTTTCTTTTGTTAGCTAAAAAACTTCATTTGCTTTCTATTTTGCATTTTGACTCGATTGCAATAGAACATTACGAAACTAACAAAGAAAAACATAGAAATCAAGTTTAATGTTCCAATTCGCTCAGGAAAGCACTGTTTTTTGCTCGTGTTTAGTCTAATATAAATATTTTTTGGTCAATTATATATTTTCTTAAATTTTAAATACAAAACAAATGCAGATAGAAAGCATCGAGTCATAGAAAAACGGTAAATATAAAATATGTAAGGATTATTTATGCGGGAAAGGTTTGATTGAAATCATTGCAGTAAAACTGATTTGATTTAAATCAGTATGTAAAAATCACAATTTCACTCATCTTGATTTTTAGTATCCACCCTGCTAGCAAGTAATCATGAGTAATATACTCAAACTTTTCAAAATCATCGTAGGACGTTCTTATCGGGGTGTGCACAGTCACTCGTATTTTTGGAGGCAGGCGTATAAAACTGCCCCAACAATCTCGCCCAAATTCTTCGAAACCGCCCAGGCTACGTTGCCACAATGTTGCTAAAGTGTCGCTACCATAATGTTGCCCTAATGCTGCCAATACGCCACAGCTTTTACATTTCAATTGTATTGTTAGGAGATGTATGGGGGCAGGGGCCTTGCCAGGCCTCGTGGCCTCTTGCCTCTGCCTCCTTCCCAAACAGACACCGGGGAAAAAAATGCAATAAATGCGACAAATGCTGCTACGACCAAAGAAGCGCACAATATGGCGAGTCCAGAGCACCTCACTATCGCTGCGCGGCCAATGAGATAGCGGCAAATCACAAAGCGAGAGGCACGAAGACAATAAGCCACGCCCTCCATTTCTTAAAGGGCAACTCTGCTTAATTCCGAAAATTTCGGGATAATGAGTGATTTCGAATTAAAAAGCCCCAGTAAAAGACACTGCGTCGTTTGCTTCGCGAAAAATGGGATATATATTTTTAGATCCAATTTTGAACACAAGCGGAAATCGAAACCGAAACCTCAACTCCGTCCGGCAACATTGGCCTCGGGCCGCCAAGTACATGGCCATCACGTGGTACGAGCTGCCACGTGATCCTCGGCCCAACAACGGGCGGGATGGGGGCGGGCGGGCGTGCGGCAGGCGCGAGTGTCGTCTGCACCGCACTCTTCGCCGCGTTTTGATGTCTACGGCATTCGACGACGTCTGCTCAACTGCGGCATAAGTCTGTGACTCTACGCACATGGTGTCCATAGTGTGGACGAAACTCCGAGAGGGAATAATCACAAACGGTGAGACGACGACGGTGGTTGTGACGCGGAAGACGGCGGTAATAAGGGACCACGGCGGGCGGTTTGTCTGCTCCCAAGAAGCGCGCTGCGCAGGCGCGTATGCCAATCACGTGGACACCGCTGAGCGCCGAGAGGCAACGTTGCTGACGTCATGCGCTACGCTCGCCCGGAGAAATAAAAACAAGCAAAAGGGGGCCATGATGATGACGTTTAGCTCAATGTTGGCTCTGCCCATGCCGTACGTAGCCTTGACTGCGCTGTTTGTTACGCCTGAATTCGCCCACTCGAGTCAGCCGATTTCGGCAACTTGGCGAGTTGCAAAGTTTGCCGGACCGTTTAAAGGGGCCCTGCAAGGACTTTTTACTGTTTTTTAATTTGCACCGAACCTGAGCGCACTGAACGTAGTAACTTAGTGAAACTTTTCTTTTCGCGAAATTCGCTTTATTTTAAAAGTTATAGGCAATTTAGAATTACAAAAACAAGCAAAAAATAACCTCCTTCATGACGTCGTAGGTCCTGGCTTGAGTGTCCGTGAACTAGAGGTGGAATAGTGAGCTCATTGAGCGCTCACGGCCGCCGCACTCCGTGTCGACGGCGCCAGAGGGCGCCACTAGAGCATGTTCTGGATAGGCTGTATGCAGCGGGCAGCCAAAGCGGCTTTCATTGCGTTTGCTGCGCGATTAAAGACTAATTCGGCATGACACTTCATTGGCCACAAACGACAGCAAACACAGGGTAAAGATCAGTTCAGAACGGGAGCCACTTCGCGCTGCCATACCGCCAAACGGCCAAACCGCAAGCAAAACCTGCTCGCCAAAGGCCTTCAAAACTGGTTGGATCCTCGAGCCCGTATAGCACCGCCGCATACATCCGGGACTTTTCTACGCTTGTCGCTCGTCAGTGCCTGATCCCACTACCCCTTTCTAGTATGCGCCGCCTTCTGCACCGCTTCGTAGCGGGTATGTCGACGGGTCATTTCTTGTTTCCAGACTTTATGAACTGCATTTGTTCCTTTTCTGATCCAAAAAACTGAACAAAAACTACTTCTATAAATAATTAAAATGGCTCGTGCCACTTGTATTTTGTATTTAGACTAAAAAGAAGCTCTTAGTGGTTTTGACCAGTAGTAAGGCCAGGACCAAAGACTTCACATATTGCGCGCTTCCGGCACTGTGGGTCGGTCGCCCCCGTAGGTGGAGGAGGTTTCCGCATCGTCTGGTTAAAATATGAGACACTGATATTTAGTTACTCTCCCCGTGCCCGCTGGCTTGCCTGAACCCCAAGAGATGGGGAAACCGCAAAAAAGGTAGACGCTTAAATATGATTGCAGGGCCCCTTTAAGCCGTCGGACACTACGGCATTTCGATAACGGTATATGGTTCCTGGAGCATGTGGTGCACTTACCGCATCCTCAAATGTGGTTCCTCGATCTCCGCTCGACAACGTCATTAAAGTGCCGTGCCGCAGCCAGTCGCTATCCTGGTGGTGCCAAGGCGGTAGAGGTGCATGTGGCAGATGCCCGTTTTTTTATATATTTATTTTGAAATATTGCCAGACGCCTAGATGGCGTCCGAGGCAAGGGTGACTTGGGTGAGCACGGTACAGCATGTACACTGTACCATGTAGGCAGACAAAGAATAATGTAACATCAATGAGCTTAGACGGCAAGACGAGGTGAGGTGACGAGCGCATACTAATAATGAAAAAAAGCTAAAGCGGTACTCAAGGACATTCGAGACACATAAATGCAAAATTATTCTACGATTTTTTATTCTATGATTATTCTACGATTTGCCGAAACTTCGACTAATCGCAGGGGTCGCGACGTCCGACAGCGTGACATGCCAGCTCCCGTGGAATTGTTTGTAGCCACTTCGAAGCCACTTTCGAGGTGTGGGCGGTGTTGCACGTGTGCGTCTGGCAGCGTCGACGAGTCGGCAGAATTCGAGCCAAGACGAGCCAAGCCGGTTTTATCGAACTGTTTGCCATTCAGGGGACTTGCCATGAACCATGCACCTCTTGCGTAACTCGTCTTTTTTGTATGGCCAAGTCCGCTGCCCGAATAAAGGCCTTGGGTAATGCATAGCAGGCAGGTAGGACAGTGTTGTTTTCCAAGGTGCCGGACGAGGCGGCGACGTCTCAAGACGAAGCACTGATGGTCGGTGGATAACGTGACATCTCGCCCGGCGAGCTCATGCCCAGCTATGAAGACATACTTGAAACGGGACTTGCATACCTGATGGAGACGGGTGCCATAGCACCAACGGGAAGACCACTACTCGCCGCATAAAAGGAGGCACACATAGACACATCTGTTCGGTCACAGTTCTATCGATCGTTCTCTCCTCCGCCCAAGCGGCTGTCTTTTTTCATTTGCATTATCAAGTCACATTAACAACCAATCATGTACTTGCATTATCGTGCTCAAATAAAAGACGAAGAAAACATTCATTTCGTGTTGTGCCATTTTTTGCCGAGGGAACTGCTCAAAATACTATAGACAGTAAAGACACCAGTTGAAGACACATTCCAGCACAGTCCTTAGATTACCTGGTCTGGAATCTTTTTGTCACGCTACGGGAAGGTTTTCCCTAGGCACAAATCAAAGGACCAGAGGCACGTTGCCGCCATTAGGAATCAATCAATCCAATTGCACGGACAACCTAACAGAGGGACGTGGGTTCAAAAAAGCCCCTACAAATAAAATTGCTAAACGCGTCCTCTTAAAAAAAAAAAAAAAAACCTGCAGACCCGTCCAAAATATTGGCGATTGAAAACCCTCCATACTTGAACCCTAGGGGCCATATTATTTCGAAAACATTAGAACGCCACATGAAGGTTGCCACGTCTCTTTTCAAAAGCTATCGTTTTTCTAGATTTTTTATCTTTTACAGATCGTTAAAGTTTGTTCTCACTTTTTTTTTTTTTTTTTTTTTTTTTTTTTTTTTTCATTTACATGGATTGGCATTGCAGGTGGTGACAAAATTTACGAGGGCGGAAACCACCAAAGTTTCCACACCAGTAAGTAGCTTGAAGACCATGATTCCAAGTGCTATGGTAAAAACTTTCATAACACTGCTATAATGTTTCCACGCCGCCATGGCGTCGAGCTGAGCCATATTGAAAAGTTAAAACAAAGCTTACTACTCCTGTTTCCTCGCTAGCTATTCTTTTTTTTTTTTTTTTGACTCGTGGATGTGAATTTTTTCCTTAGCCCTACCAGCTGTTCGGGCACAATAAAACACATGATTGATTAATTTATTCAGTGATTGATTGTATGATTAAGTTGAGTGCACCAGCATTCAGGCTTCCGCTTTTCCTGGACAGAAGAAGGAAAGAATAAAGTCGAGATGGCCCACCTTCTTGATGCGTTCGACGATCTGCCGGTGCGTCTCTGAAGTGATGTTGACGCCGTTGACCTCGACGATGCGGTCCCCCTCGCGGAGCCCCGCATACTCGGCGGGGCTGCCCTCGTCGATCTTGCCTACGTACTGGCCAAGCTTGTCCTTCTCCGCGTGCAAGTTGAAGCCGTACCCTTCGAAGTCCTCCCACTTCTTCATCTGGCACAGCCGCGGCGCCGGGGCATCCGGAGGCAGCTCGACCATCTCGGATTCCTGCAAAAGGTCACAGAGAAAAGCCCGGGTCAAAAATTGTACATTGAAAGTACCGTAGTTTTCAGTCTACAGTCTCAAATTTCAGCCCATTTTTCTTAAATATAGTCCACGCTTGGTGCCTAGATTGCACTATGCCCATAGTTTGTACTCGTTGCAAAGTTTGTGCCTGACACCTACTCCGCACTCGGACTCTGCACTCAGTGCATAGTCTACACTTGGTGCCTAGCCCATATCTGGCACATATTCTGCACGTAAACAAATACTCGCACATGGCATACGTTGAAAGATGCCCACTTCATTTGTAAGTGCACAAAGCTTTTACCATTCACAAATCATCATTCCGCCAAATCTGGATGGTGTTCCCGTCACCATAGGCATAAAGCCTTATTCTGGCATGCGCTTGAGTAAAAGTCACAAACGCCTGCTGAGGCACCGCTATCCTACGATGTGTTGCGGGAAAGCCTGCCGTATCTTCCGATGTGCTGCAGGAAAGCCTAGCGCCTGTCTCTGGAACGCAGCTTTCCGGCGCTGCAAAGTTCGATATATTCATTTTTTAACCAATTGAGTTTGCTATAAAAAATTTAGAATGCATGTAATTCTTATGGTAAATCGACAATGAATCGATATAAGCAATAATTCTATATATACATGGTTGATATAATGAGGTTTGACTGTAGTAACTTAATCCTATAGATCAAAATGGACGATACAAAATGTGCAGCATGTTTTGAGCTGAATCGGGTCTTCATGTAAAAGCTTTTCTGAACTTGAAAAGTCACGCTAAATTTCGCTAGATTTAGCAGAATTTAGCGTGAGAATAGACCCTCTTCAAAAGTCTGCGCCACTGCCCGTCCTCCATTGCTTGATCACATACTCTGAGCATATATTGGACACGAAGACTGCCTCAGTGTTCGGCGGGCCACTCTGATCCTATCACGCACTTCGCGTCCAAGCAATGACGACCGCCAATGTTGCTTGATGAACTTTCAAAAAAGTTCTATTTGGGTTCTCCGTTAAATATATCGGGGAGACACTTCCCGCTCAAATTCAGTAGGGAGTAAGCCCACTAAACTTAGCATGTTACCCTTTTGCGTTGTACTTTTCTGCGTGACACTTCCTTTGACACTTTTTGGTGTACTTTTTACATTAAATTTTTAGGGTTGGGAGTCAATTAAAATTTTTAACCCGATTAATCGCCCCCTTGAATCGATTAATTAATTGATTAGTCAGTTTTGTTCATTCTCATACATAATAAATGAAAAGTCAAAATTAAATGTTTTGCATTAGCTGATTATGTAATAAATGGTGTGGTACAATTTTGAATTTTAAATCAACTTTGATGTGTAGTTGAGGACAGTCAAGAGACAACCCACTCACAAGTTATTACTTCAGCCGCAGAGGCAAAGAGGTTTGTTGATATTCTCTGGCAATAGCAAACTCCTTTGATTGTCCACAACAGAATCTGCTGCACTAAACGGACACTCGCGCGGTGTTGAAGTGGGTGGGTCACGTATGTATTACCTTCTCCACTTATTTGGAGTTACGAATCTCTCCCTTACAGTTTACTTTTGGATCAACATTTATCTGTTGAATTTTCACTTTTGTTTTGTTTGCCAAAATTTAAACGAAAAACCAGTTAAAAAAATTAATTACAATTAAAGCATGAATCGATTAATCGGTAATCCCAGAATACCAAAAGACATTCTGGTAGAATGTCTTTTGGAGAAAAGGTTCAGGTCCAGTTCAGCTCCGGAGTAAACAAATAGCAGTTCATACTGGTTCAGGCTGGTTCATAACATTGTTTATTTTGATCAAAAATGGTAAATCATAAAAGAGTGAGAACGGCTCATAAACTGTGTAAAATAAGAATAATGAGCCTGTTTTGGACTATGCGCGTTACACGCTTCAGGGCATAGCAATCACAATGCAGCAGCTGGCCAGGGTGTGGGTCCATAAGTTTTCTCGGTCACGAACAAAGGAAGGTTTTCATGTGCGTAAAGCGTGTAAAAAAATTCTAAGAAACCTTTTTTTTTTTGGTCATTCGGCTTATTTTTAATTCTTGGGATTAAGAATGTTAAATAAAAACATGAAAATTAGAAAAGTTCATATACTTTACACTGCTTTCAGCAATGTATGTTCCAGATGCCCCATTTTTTCCCTTAAACCAAAAAACATACAGATTACTTTCCAACTTCAATCCAAAATTAAAAAAAAAAAAAGTTAAAATTATGTTTTATTTGTTTGCTTATTGATACTGTCAGCCCGTGAGGGCTATTACAGGGGCGGAAATCAGAACATAAAAACACAACATACACCTTAACAGAAATAAATAAATATACAACTATACAGCTGCCCAATAAAAAAAACGCCAACATCATGCCATAAATAATGAAAACATTCATTAAAAAACAAACATCAGAAAAAAAGAAGGCAGAAAGTAACACATATTTATTTTTATAGACACACAACAAAAAATGTCACTGCCAAAATCTGATATATATGGCCATCAAACAATATTTTCGATGCATTTTAGAAATTCACTGAGAAATGTACGGTGGTCACCAAAATTGTACGGAACATGGGGACTGCACATTATTACATGGGAGCACTATCCTGGTGTACTTGGTCAAGTTTTGTGGCTGCTCAGGACAAGACTAAAACAGCCTCTCGTCGTGAGCAGGAAATAAAACTTCATCAAGCGTGACAAGATAGCGCTTTCATGAGATATCTTGGTTTTAAAAGTGCAGAAAACCAAGATGAATAACTACCAACTAGCCCAACTTTCCACTCTACTGCAGTTCATGAGATAGTTTGCATGTTCGGTATAAATTTGGTGGCCACGGTACATGACAGAGAGTTTGTTTTGTGGGTGTGTGAAGATAAAAGCCTATATTTTCTTGTTTTTGCTGGCACTGGTGGCATCCACAAATACTCGAAGACTGACCAAGAAGTGTCTATGTCGCGTTAGATTTCTAAGGGTAAAAAGCAGACATTTACTTCCAGTCTCTACTTTGCAGAACTTGACCAAGTTGTGGGGATAACATCAACAATGCGATCCTCGGGACTGCGTCATCAAGCTTTGCAATCCCTGCTGCGACTACATTTGAATGCGACTCATACAGTGGATACGAGCACTGTGTGGACATTCTATTTGGGCCCGTGGCAACCAATGCATCGACATGGTAGCAGCTTGTGCCGTTGCTGCGACGGCGGGAAAAGGGTGTTTTCAAATGACACCAATCCGCCATTTTGTTGTTGGAGTAAGTGCGTGAGAAAATGTATTATTTATCAAGAAAAGAAAAATGCGATGAAACTTGCAAGCTTTTGTGCTCTCCTGATTTGGGGGTGTTTTTGCGAATTTTGGAATACTCGCATTCAGCACGTGCAGTGATGCGATTGGTCTGAGTCATTTTGGAGAAGCTCTTGAAGCAGCCATAAGTCAATTTTGGAGCACAAAAATAACTTTTGTAGCATGAGTGCACATTCATCTTTATTTAGACCGATGCAAACATTGTGTTAAGATTAATCTGTCGGCCAGTCAAACTAAAAGGCAATGTCTACATTGCCTTCTCACTTACATGCAACCCTTTGTTAGCATCAATTGCACAGCACCGAGTGAGTCCCTCGAACACAAAACTAGCAATTAGTTGTGTGGAAAAGCAAGAGAGAGGGTGACAAGAAGGTGAGTTATGAAAGACGGCACAAACTGTTGTGAATGGTTATTTTAGGTACTGAATCCCACTGAAATAATACAATATTGAGCACATAAATTATTGTTTCCTTCAAGTACTAGAGCTTGTAATAAAACTGTAATTTATAATTTAGATAAAAACCAAACCACTTGTCATTCGATTATCAGCATCAATTACATTTTATGTGTAGAAGTTCATAAAAAAAACTGCATGTGTATGAAACTTAAAAACAATCCCGCCAAACTCATTAAGGTTCTTCCCGAGCCTCCATCCACTGCTCCTGCCAATTTAGTTCTATCAGAGAGAACGCCCGCCCCCGAGAGATCGCCCATCCCGTTTTTCTGACTAAATATCTGTAACATAAAAATTCCGAAACATCGCCCACCCCCCAATTCCCGTCGGACGTCACGCGATGTCCGACGGGAGTCGCATCAACCACGCAACATGATGTACCGGTACGCCTTACAAGCGAGCTCATTCATAGCGAGTTCCCGCGTTTTTGTCCGCGATCTACGTGCGCGATATCGGCTCCCGTGACACGCGAGTTGTTCCCGTGTGTATGTTGCACCGTGAAATTCGAATCTGCTGCGTCCGCAATTTGCGGTATCCGTTGCCGTGACAAAGGTTGTAGCAGATTCCCGCGTTTCTGTCCGCGATCTGCGCGCGATCCCGATTCCACGCGAGTTGATCCCGCGTGCATATTGCACAGTGAAATACGGCAACACACAAGTTGGCAGCGGATTCCAGCGTTTTTTGTCCGTAATCTGCGCGCGCAATATGAATTTGCCTATTCGCTCCCGCGAGATGCGAGTTCTCCGCGGGTTTCCGCGGGTCCTTCGCACCGTGAAACGCAAACCTGCTGCGTCCGCAATCTGCGGTATTTTTACCCGTGACACAGGAGTTCGTAGCGAATTTTCGGGTAACGTGGCTTGTAGTCGCTGCCAGGGTGTTTATCATTGCGTTTGCTGCGGCATCCCCAAAGATAGACCATCCCATGTTTTTCACCATTTATCTCTTCATTTTTGGTGGGCGTTATTTCGGAACTTTACGGTAATTTCCTCGACATCTATATAAAAGTGATAGAAACAAATGAGTTGGCGTAAATAAATAAACATACAAAAGAGCATACTATAAATGTTTATGCAATACCGAAGTATCCTTGCTAAATTTCGAATTTGAAAAAGGTACCGCCAGGATGAGACGCGTTAGCCCACTCGGCCGCCGATCCCCCCAAAACTAATGCTCGGCATAGTCCATTTCTATTCTGCCCGCTGGACCTTCGCAAGCCTGTCTTCCACG